TGGAAGACAATAAAAATAAAATAATATAAATTAATTATTTTATTTGCCCAAAGAGGGTATATTAGGCCAAGCCCAATTGTAGAGCCCCTATCCCAAGCCTAGCCTGGTCGCTGGGCGATGGCAGCGTCCATACCAAAGTCAATAGGATCTGTCTCGTTCTTTTTTAAAAGATGAGTGGTACCCTTGAGGTCCAAACCTAGTATCCAAATTTGACGTATATGAACAGGAAACGTGCTGGACGGACAAGATCAACATGGCCCCTGTTCAAACAGGTTTTTCCGTATGAACAGGTGTTTATGTGAAAGTAAATTTCTGAAAGATATGTATTACAAAGTAGGAAAAAAATTTATAAAAATAATTGAAAAATAATTTTTAGAAAAATGTGTGGTTGAAAATTTATCTAGAAGAAAAGTGATTTTCAAATAATCACTTTCAAACAAGGGCTAGATTTTCCCCAATATCTAAAACCATACTATCCAAGCTTCAAGATGTCAACATTCGGCTCTAAATTCTCATTCACTCGAAAATGATTTTTCGAAATCAAATATACTACGAACATCTACTAACAAAGTAGAATGTGTTCAACAATAATTTCTATAAAATTAATTTATTGGGATCCGCTCAAATTTTGTCAAACCAACTTAATAAACTCATTTCCAACAAAGTTCACATATAAATAATTCATTTTCTAGTCAAACGTAACTATTATTTTGAATGGGATACCATCTCTAATATGGAAATAAATAACTTTTTTTAGTTATAAATGAAAAAAGTAAGCTATCCTAGCATACTTAAAAATATAATTACCTAAAAGTATATTTAACTTATTTTAAATCATACCCGAATAAGGATGGCAATTTGAACTGTCAAAACCGAAAACCGCGATTAACCGAATCAAATGGGGCGAAAAAAACCGAACCGATGGTACAATGGGACGGGTATGGTTTTGATTTTAATAAATCGGTTCGTGACGGTGCGGGTATGGTATTTACGCCGTCGAACCGAAACCGAACCGATTACCCGATAAAAAAAAAACACAATTGAATTGATTTGATTATTGGGCTTTACACTACTTTTCTATCTAGCCCAAAACGAAATCCCCCCATTATATCTACCTGACTCAGCCGGCCAGCCCACTTACCATTAGCCCATAATAATAGCATTAGTATGACAATATATAAATGCAAACCATACTCTCCACAAACCATAAACTCACGCACGGCTCATTTTATTATTAATTTTTTTCTATTGTGTGTAGAAAATTCTACTTCTTCATTATATTCTAGAACTTGTGCAACGTTTAGCGAGAAGGAAGCTGATGAAGATGTACATTTTTTTTAATATTAGTTAAGACCATTCTGAATAAGTAGTATCGTTGTATTCTCTACTTACATTTCTTATTTACTATATAGGAATCAACTTTGAGCGCTGATCTATGCTTGTAAGACTTGTGGGGAAGAATGAATCAAGTAACTTCAATGCACAACAATTAAGAATGAAGGAAAAGTTTAGTATTGTTATATTTATCATATTGTTTGTTAAATTTGTATTTTGCAATTGAAAATTGGGATAATATTTGTATTTTCGTTTGAAATATTGTTTGATAATGTTTGCATTTTCGTTTGGAATATTGTGTTTTTGTTTTAATTGACATTTTTCATAAATTATTTTATATCAATTTCACGGATGAACCTATAAAAAATAATTTATTTTCGTGATTAATAACCGAATTGAACCGTGCCGAACCGAGATACGAACCGAATTGATTTACGTGGTTATGTTGCGGTTATGATATGGTCAAAAAATTGGTGGTGCGGTTATGATTTTGGCCGAACCGAACCGTTGCCAACCCTATACCCGAATATGTTATAACATTATTTCTCAGCTAAAACTCTAGTTAATAAAATTTCTGTTGTGAGTCTTGATCAACTTTAGCAATGATTCAGAGATGATCAACATGAAGTTCTTTTTCATTGTATGGATAAAAATAATTAAACTCCTGTTTGAAGAGATTATTTAAACATTTTTTTTCCGTATTCATTTTCAAATACACATTTTTCAAAAAACTCATTTTTCATGCTTTCTCTCACTCATTTTTTTTTTCATTTTTATACCACATTCTTAAAAAAATTATTTTTCAGATAATCAATGTCACACAAGCACTAAAAAATCAACCAGCAAAGAGGCACGTTGACTGGTTTCATGCTTTCAAGAGTTATCATAAATTGTGATGAACGAGTAACAATGCTTAAATGCTTATAGATATTATGTTAGACACATAGAATGGATATTATTAAATGAATTAATTGATAGTTAGTTGAATCAATAATATATAGTGTTTAAATGAATTAATTTAATAAGAGTAATGTTGTAATGTAATAGGGATGAATATAATATTTTTTAAAATTTAAATTTGTAATAGAGAAAGATTGTAGATAGATATAATATTTTTCTCAAAAATTTTAAATTTTAGTAGGGATATATATAGATTTTAGAGTGTGATAGACATATAAGAAATATATGATAAAGCGGTTATCTAAAAATGTTGTAATTATTTAATAAATTTTGTCAAAACATCCACATTAATTTAAGTATTTCATTTTTTATTGTTTCTTTCATCTTATTCACACAAAGGCTCGTTGGTTTTTACACCATAACACCTCGTTACTACAATTTGTCTACATGATTACTTGCACAAGTTTTACCTAATTTTAGTGTTCTAATTTAGTCAAATTTTTTGAAGCAACTAATTGTAGACAAGGAAATATTAGAGTGCAGTCGTTTCTTCAAAAATAATAAATTATTATTATTTTTTTTTTAAAATCATCAAATAGTGCAAACTAGGTTATAGTTGGCAATCGGGCTCGTCGATTCTGGCCGCCCGAGGCTCGACCAAGAAGAAACTTGAGCTGGGCCGAGTTGAGGCTCGGAGACACCAAGCCAAGGCTAGGGCCGAGCCGGGCTGGCCCGTGAAAAAAGGCCAAACAAACAGCTAAGAGGAGAAAAAAATTTCAAAAAATCAAGCCAGCTTGGCTCGGTCAAAAAGAAGTCCGCGCCAAAAAAGTCAGAGCCGGGAGTTTTGCCTCACGAGCCGGCCAACTAGGTGAAGTTCAAGTTTTTGGCCATAATGTGGAGAACTCAAAGTAATTAACAATAAAAAAAAAAATGAAGAAATTTTAATAAATTTAAAGATCCAGAAAACATTTGAGTTCGGCTTAACTCAATCTCTATAAGTTCGATTGGCTTCATGTTACTGTCAGACTTATTACGTTATGGGCTCACTAATTGATCCCTTAATTAGGATAATTTATGTAGTAATCATTTCTTGGAAAGAGAATTGAACAGTGTTACAGATACATAATTTTTTGATAAAAAATTTTTAAAGGCAACACATGACGTGATATCATTAGAAGATGAAAAAAGAGGGAAAAAATAGTCTAATCATATTTGGCTACATTAGTATCGATATTTTCTGTACTCATGGCTTTATTGAAGAGAATTTTTCTCTAGTCGCTCAAACTCATCAATCAGATAGAGGTTGAGGTAGGATAAGTGGCAAACTTATGATCTATACAACGATTCAGCAATCAAATGCTACTGATTAGACAAAGTGATACGTGGATCGGGATTGCTGATTGTAATTAGAATTACAATGATGCTATAAGCATAATATGGAGTAATAGCCGCCCCTCCGATAGGGAGCTGACAATTTTGTCAACAATGCTATACATGATTTTGTACAAAATGAACAATCCTTATAATTATTATGACAACTAACAATTATAATTTTCTGATACACACAGAGGGGAACATTTTACTCCTCATCTAAGGACACAATAATTCAAATTCTCTCCCCAAAATACACTTTTATGCTTGCATACTAACCTTTTGGCTTGGACAAAGCGTAAATCCGACCTTGCTACTCTATTTTCATAATTTTCCTTTAAGTTGAATTAAAAGGTACCACATCACTTTTTGACTCCAACAACTTTTACAACAATTGAGAGACTCTAGTTATTAACAAAATCTATACATCTCTTGTTAGATTGTGAATATATAATCTTGCATTAAATCACAAAGATCATTAAATAGTAATTCCGAAGGGCATAATGATTTTTCTATCAATTATCAGTCTCAGACCTTTAATAAATGTGCACTAAGAGGGCCTATAACCATTTTCATTCAAAAATATTTATATTCATCGATTCACGAAACCCCAACACCTAACTCCTAACCCACCCAACCTCATCCATTGGTAGGTTGAGGGAGCCTCAACCGATGTCACTACTATTATTTATTTATTTTTAGTTCTTTAAAGATTCTTGTTAGGATGAAATAGGGAAAATGGAGTTTGCAAAGGTGAAGAAAATGAGACTACGATGGCGATACTATAGTGGCTGCAACTCAAGAGATGGTAGCTGTTGTGAGGCTGACCAGCCAAGGTAGGTGATGTTTATTCTCTCGATTGGTTAGGGTTTCAGGTTAGTTGGATTGAAGGAGATGAATATTTTTGATCAACTGATGAATTTTTGTATGGAAACTCTTAGAAGTCCTTCCAACACACGTTTATTAAAAATCTGGGGCCGTGCTGCACATTTTTAGAAGTTTTGAAATCTGTGCAAATTTCCTACTTTCTTTTAAATTAGTCAAATTATGGTCAAATGATGACTTTTGGTCAACTAACGAATTTTATCCTCCCGTGGCACGGTGGTTAAAGATTTGGTGTCTATCCAATATGATTTAAAGGTTTGGATATAATCTGTAATGTTTCGAAATATTTGGATCTCCTTAGTTTTCCAAAAGTCGAAATAGAAAGAGTCTGTTTGAGAGTGATTTTAAGAATTGATTTTTTGATCATTAAATGGGGTCCACCTGTAAAAGAAGAAGTCAAATATGACAAATAAAATAGTAAAATAACAATAAAAAATTTAATTTTTTGAGCTAAAAAATACTCCTAGACAGGATGAAAAATTCTTTTTTGTCACACTAGCCCCTATCAACGAACTTCGAGACGACAGCGTTTTGGTTGCCATTGCCAAACATTTCTGCTATTGTACTCTTAGCAGCGCACAGAAATGGCGCTTCTGAACCACAGGTATTCCATTTCTTCTTCTTCCTTACCTTCAATATACACCCACCATTTTTCGACCCCATTATTCTTCATAATTACTAAACCGCCCCATAAGAAACTCAGAATTTCACTCTGCTCCCCCTCCCCTAGTTCCACTCAATCCTCCCCAATATTCCTCCCTTTCCTCCAAAACCCGGGTAAAAAGGAAACACATAAACCAGAACACAATAATATTGAAGAAATCAATGACCCCATTCTCAAATTCTTCAAGACCCGAACGTCGGAGCAGGGTTCGGAGCCGGACCCAGTTCATGAAGGCAGGATTTCCCTCCAAAAGAACCGGAAAACCTCATGGCACTTAGCTTCCACTTTTGATGAACCTAATTCTGGTGTTGAAATGGAAGGTTACCATCTTGGCCTTCTTGAGAATGTGAATTCCGGTTTACAAACTCCGTCAGAAGGGAAAGGAGTTGTGAGGGAAATACTGGAAATTGCTAGGGGTTTACCAGAAAACGTGACGTTAGGGGAGGCCTTGGAGGGTTATGATTTTGGAGGTAGAATAGGAGAGGAAGAGTGCTTGGAAGTGTTGAGAATAATGGGCGAGGAGGGTATGGTGATGAGTTGTTTGTACTTTTTCGAATGGATGGGATTGAACGAGCCTTCTTTTGTTTCTCCTCGTGCGTGCTCGGTTTTGTTCCCCACCTTAGGGAGGGCAGGGAAGGGGAATGAGCTGTTAGTTGTATTCCGGAACTTGCCCTTTGATCAGAAGAAGCAATTCCGGGATATTCGTGTTTATAATGCTGCAATATCAGGTCTTTTGTCCTGTGGAAGGTATTGGATTTTTTTGACTTGATTGTACAATACTTGGATCATATTCTTTAATTTAGTTCATTTATTATGCTTCTTAATTTCGTTGTTATACATTCACATTTTTTGTATCAGATTCGGTGCATTTGTGCATTGCCATGTATAATGTAGGTTTGTACATAGTCTGGATAAGGATGCAGAGAAGTATAAAGAATACTGAAAATTTAAGTGTGTTGTGTTTTATTCATTTAATTGTCTCTCTGATCATATTGGGTTCTATTATCAGTTTCTGCTACTGCCAAACTTTAGTCTTCGGCTGTTTTTCTTTCTTTCTTTAGTTTGAAGTTTTCCCTGCAAAGTTGAAGTTCAAATATGTTAAAATTATCACCATAGTATTGCAACTGAATACAAATTGCATGCAAGTTATGGTGGTGTATGGTATCAATTTAGCAACTTACTCTACCTTTTGCTCCAACATATTTAAAGTATTTGTCAGCCAAGGAATCTGTTTACATTTATAAATGCATTTGTTAGTCTATCAGACTTCATATTCTTTATTATTGCAACTCTCAGTGTTCCTGTTAACTTCAATCTAGGTGCAGTTGTACGATCAACATATAAATATTCGGTCCTACATTTTTCCTTAGGTTTGATGATGCTTGGAAAGTGTATGACTCATTGGAAACAGGTAATATCTGTCCGGATCATATAACATGTTCTATCATGATTACAATCATGCGGAAGAGTGGCAGAAGTGCCAAAGATGCATGGGAGTTCTTTGTAAAAATGAACCAGAAAGGAAACATGTGGAGTTTGGAAGCTTTGGGTTCTCTAATCAAGACATTTTGTGATGAGGGGCTGAAAAATGAAGCTCTTGTTATTCAATCGGAAATGGAGAAAAGGGGGATATCCTCTAATGTCGTTGTTTATAACACCATTATGGATGCTTATGGTAAATCAAACCAAGTTGAAGAACTGGAAGGTCTTTTTGCCGAGATGAAGGCAAAAGGAATCGCACCAACAGCTGCTACTTATAACATTTTGATGGATGCCTATAGTAGAAGAATGCAACCTGAAATTGTTGAGAAACTGCTTCTAGAGATGGAAGCTACTGGGCTGGAGCCTAATGTTAGATCCTATACATGTCTAATAAGTGCCTATGGGAGACAGAAGAAAATGAGTGACATGGCTGCAAATGCATTCTTGAGGATGAAGAAAGTCGGTATTAAACCTTCTTCACATTCTTACACAGCCCTTATTCACGCGTATTCAGTGGATGGCTGGCATGAGAAAGCTGAGATAGCTTTTGAGGGTATGCTAAGGGAGGGAATAAAACCTTCAATTGAAACCTATACTGCTCTACTTGATGCCTTTAGACGTGCTGGTGACACTGAAACGCTAATGAAAATCTGGAAGATAATGATCAGGGATAAAATTGAAGGTACGCGTGTTACTTTCAACATTCTTCTCGATGGATTTGCCAAACAAGGCCATTATGTTGAAGCAAGAGATGTCATATGCGAGTTTGGAAGGCTTGGGTTACAACCGACTGTAATGACATATAATATGCTGATAAATGCCTATGCACGGGGAGGGCAAGAATCAAAGTTACCACAGCTGTTAAAAGAGATGGCCGCCCTTAATCTAAAACCTGATTCTATTACTTATTCCACTATGATATATGCATATATTCGTGTCCGCGATTTCAAGAGGGCATTCTTTTATCACAAGCAGATGGTGAAAAGTGGCCAAGTACCCGATGCCAAATCATATCAGAAGCTCAGGTCAATTTTGGATGTCAAAGCAAAGATAAAGAACAGAAAGGATAGGAGTGCCTTAATGGGTATCATTAAAAGCAGCATGGGCTTGTTGAAAGAGAAGAAAAAAGGAAAGAAAGATGAGTTCTGGAAAAACAAAAAGAAACAATCAAGAGCTGCTGGCAGGATACAGGCTTCACCCTGATATATCTGTTAACTAAGGTTCTGAGCTCTATGAACGTCCAAAGGATTTTTTCCTACACTGCTGTATACTTTGGTGCAAACTAATTTGCCCTTCCGTTAACAGTCTTTTCTTGCTGAGATATTATGTTTATTACCGGTAAAGTCAATTTTTAGCATGAAGCTTTCTTAGTGGGAGTAAGCAAGAAGCTTTTTTCATAATGGTGACTGATCATATTACCAGGTAACTTTCTTCTGATCTTGATCTTCTTGTTAGATATTTTTCATCATTTTGTATGTGTTTAATTTTTTGTTTTGCGAATGATTTGCCACTCGGATTAATGTTTGTCGCTGCGCAACAGGATTCGACCTGGGCGAATTCTCATTTGCAAATACATCAAACAATTTATTTTTCCTTCTTTCTCTTGGTATCAATCAGTTATATTCGAGTGTTTTCTTGGTTTGATCAAATAGTCATAATTTGAATCAAACACCTCCATTGTATCCTAAGAGAGATTTTCTTTTATACCCCGTTGTGACTTTGTTTTGTAGGGGAGAAACATCTCTTAAAAGATAACGTTTCATTTCGTGCCTTGGAGTTCATTAACGTATTCAGATTTCCCTACATTATTATCAACACTTCTTGGAGTTATTTGCAATATAGAAGGCATAGGTCTTAAAATCTGCGTAGGCCTTTTGAGTTAGGAATGTGCATAAATGGGTGCAAGTCGTGAAACAGTAGTTAGATGTGGATGAAGTAATGAAGCAAAAACTGCATTGCAGGTGCGAGTGAAGAGGACAGGGTAAAGATTCAAGCTTGATGCAAATATCAAGTTAGCAGGTGGATCTCTGTGGAGGATCCAGTCTCTCACAGTTAATCTAATTGAATTGATACACTGGAAACATAGTATCTATAGATAGAAATGGATCGATGTTGATGGACATGGAAGCCATGTGGCCACATCTACATGAATAAGAGGCTTCATTGATTCATATTGACTTTGATTATGTTCTTCCCAAAGACATTGTTTTGTTTAAAATGTCTTTCATATTTTAGAAAGTCGTCTTATTTTTTCTTTAAAATATCCGATCAACGAAACTCGTCAACTAGAATGGGTCGTGTCAAATTGGCAACAGGTTGTGTCAACTCGATCCCAGCCTAGACAAATCGACTCTGTTATAAAACCAACACTCGTAGGAGTTTTCCCCCTACTGCTGATATGAAATAGAGAGAAATAGTGAAATGAATACTCCAGTGTGGGTGTGGTAGCAAGTAGGTTCTCAAATAAAGAAAATCTATAGAATGATCATATTTGGATGATTATTTTCACTATGCTATTGAAGAAGCATGAGGTCCCGTTTGGAAGGGATTTTGAGAATTGATTTTTTGACCGTTAAAAGAAAAGTGGGCTCCATTTATGAAAGAAGAAGTCAAAAATTACGGTTGAAATATTGAAATAACGGTCAAAAAATCAATTTTGGGAGGTAAAAAATCCCTCCCAAACAAGCTCTGAGATTCGCCTGAAGGGTAAAAAGTGTAAATACTTAATTTCAATAAAAATAAATAAATAAAATAGAAAGGGACAAGAAATATCAAAGAAAATAGAAAAATCGAATCGGAAAAATAGCAAATTTCAATTCCAGCAAGCACATTTTAATTAAATTTTGATATTTTAACGGTCAATTGAATAACTAAAGTTCATTGGACATCAAAGAGTTTGTACATTTAAAATGATTGGAACTCAACTAAAATAAAATCGAATACTCAATAAACAAATTTAATACTTTTGAGACAATTGCTGCAATTTTTTTTTTCTAAAATAGAAAACAAAATATTATTAGGGTTGTACCAATGTCCCTCGGGTTCGAATCAAGAATATCTCAACCGAAACACTAAGTCTCTATTTCGTAGAAACTTTTTTTAAACTTTTTTTCTTAAACTTATTTACAATCACACATTTTCTTAATAGAATAATTTTTTTCATAGATTAATAATCTTTTTTTAATTACTCCATGTTAAAAAAAAATAAAATTGCTTTTATAAGATATATCTCCCCAAAAAAATAAAAATAAAACAAATATATCTATATCAAACCGGTTTTAAATATAGGGCCTACATTTCGCCCAATCCTATGAGGTGGACCGGATTCTGGGCGATCTAACCCTGATTGCCCATGGCATGAATAATACTCTGAATTTACTGAGGTAGAGTGCGTGTCTGGTTGGGAGAGACGGAGCGAACATGAAAAGATTTTTCAAGCCAGTGGAGAAGGATGGCTCTTCCAAGAAACCCACGATCTCTGCTGCTTCATCAGTAAAAGAAATTGAAATTGCAAAAGAAACTGCTGCTGTAGATGAAGACAAAAATGAAATCACCAAGAAAGACCCTTTAAAATACTTGACATGGAATGCAAATAGTTTTCTGCTAAGAGTGAAGAATGACTGGCCTGAGTTCTCTAAGTTTATAGAGAATTATGATCCTGATGTCATTGCAATACAGGTGTTTTGATCTTCCCCTCCATTTTTACTTTTTTTTTTCCCTATGTCTGCTGTGTAATTTTGGGGCTTGTGTTGGTATTATTACAATGTTAATTTTTTTTGGCAAATTTGTTTTGATTTTTGAGTTTTTGAACTAATATGCTCGTATTTTATGATACATGCGGGTTGGGTCTTTACGATTAGAATGATACTGAGTTAAAAAATTTGGCCTTTTGGGGTTAATGTAGTAAGAGAAATGACCTCACTTGGGTTGAGTTTTTGTAAAGTTTCTTTTCGTGAAACTGTCTTTTATCTAATAATTTATTGATAAAAATATTTGTTTGTTCAGTTGTTTATTAAGTGTTAGGTACAAAATGAACGGGTGCGTTTGTTGGGTTTGGGGATGTGTTTTTGTTTGGATTTTATGGGCGTGTTTGGTAAATTGGATAGGATGAGAACAACTCACACGTCTCTCTTTTTTAATACTGTCTATTTATGTTTAATCTGGCATACGAAACAAGTTGTATGTCTACTTACGTAAAACTTGTTTTGATGAGTAGTTTAATATCAAGTTCGAGACATATACAGAAGGATACTAGCATAATAATTATAGACTTATAGTCGAAGGTTAGTTTAGTGCTTTAAGTTTTACTCGTACTGTAGCCCATGTAATCATATTTTTGAATTTAAACAACGAATAGAATTATTATTAGAGGTTTCAAGTCCTCTGCTTCGTACAATAGAGGACTTCCTCCATATAAGCTATATATGTTCTTCATTTGAATTACAACTTTGCTATGCATTGTTTCCAGCATGCTTTTGGCTTTTTCAAAAGTACTCTGTGTTGATATCAGATTGTTACATAGATGGGGTCGATAATTAAAGATAATAAATACGTCAGACTTGAAATATCTTGTTTTGTGAATATGATATCTTGGAACATAGTACGCAAGTACATTAGCTTGTTCTGAGTGTCCGCTATTAAGTATATCAAAGCTTGTGCTTTAGTAAAATAGCTAAGAAATTGTGCATTTAGTTGAGAAATTGATATTACAGCAAACTCATAAAGAAAGTTCTTGATGCAGTTACATATTTTGTCATTATAACTTGTCCATTTAAAATGGTTGCACTTTACTGTAACATAACATCTCTCCATTCTTATGTTTCTTGAGAAACATTGCACTTCACCTTTTCTTTCTTTTGTTCTGATCTTCCTTTTTTCGTCTTTAAGTTTCCTTAAATGCGAGGTTGTATATTCATTTCTCTTTACATGGTGATTGTGAATTAGCTAAGGTAGAATTGTAAGAGTTTATCTAACAGCATTGGTGGTAGGAAGTAAGGATGCCGGCAGCTGGTTCCAAGGGTGCACCTAAAAACCCTAGAGAGTTGAAAGATGATACTAAACCTTCACGCGAGGAAAAGCAGGTAATATGTTACTTTGCACCCTATTTTGTCTAGTTTTGGTAAGTTAATCTTCTTAAATAATCTCTAAAATTCTCGTTTTTCAAATTTTCTTTGCTATATTTTTCTTGTTTGGAATGCAATTTGAAGATTGAAGTCCAATTCAAATTCTTTTCCCAAAGAGTCTCGATGCTTCAAATGTCATTACATTGATACCTGTTGATTGAGTTTCCGAGTGATATATATTTTACTTTGGTAATGCAGGTTATAATGCGTGCTTTATCGATTCCACCATTTAAAAATTTTAACGTATGGTGGTCTCTTTCTGATTCGAAATATGCTGGAACTGCATTGCTTATAAAAAAGTGCATCCAACCAAGAATGGTTTCTTTCTCTCTTGATGGAACAGGTTTGTAGTTGATACACAGAGTCAAAATCTTTCTAATGGATGACCAGTTTTATGAATTTTTTAAAATTTTTTTTAATTTTTTTGGTAATGTTATTAAGCTCCTATTTGATGGAGATTAAAATCAAATTTTTAGTAGATTTTGATAAAAGTTGATGAAATATGTGGTTGAAAAGTTGTGGGTCCCTTGAAATATGTGATTAAAATTAATTGTTGACTTTGACTTAAATTAAAATCTAGATTTTAATTCCTACCAAACAGGGGCTAAAAGTAAAATGATACCATAAATCTTCCTAAGCCATTGCCAGTTGTCATGAAGGGTATTTCTGTTGCAAGAAAACTAATGATTATATTCACATTCATATTGATTATAAAGATCAAATAAAACAAATAGAAGAAAAATATTTTGAATAAAGTCAGATGGAATTATGATATCCCGAGAGCAAAGAGTACTAAAGATTTAAGCATATTTTTTTTCAGAGAATATAATCTATGTATTGATGCTTTCATTTTCTACTTTTGTTGGTGTATAGTTCTTTTGAAAAAAGAGTCATTTCATGATTGTCTTCCTTTTTAGGTTCAAAGCACGAACCTGACGGGAGGGTAATTTTAGCTGAATTTGAATCATTCCGGCTATTAAATACATATGTACCAAACAATGGTTGGAAAGAAGAGGAATCCTCATTTCCTAGGAGAAGAAAGTGGGATAAGAGGATGCTAGAATTTGTTCTTAGAACATCTGATAAACCCCTTATTTGGTGTGGTGATCTTAATGTAAGGTACTGTTCCTTTAATAGTATTAACTTTACCTTCCTATGA